TCAGTGCCTGATCCATCAGTAGCCCACATATCTTGTGTATTTTTATGTGACGATTTATGTAAGCCATACAGATGTAAAAGCCCAAAAAGTGCTCTAATTTCCATATCATTTGTCGTTTTGGCATCCCGATCTCTGGTATAATTTACCGATATTTTTCTCAATATAAATATTTGTACACTCTACAGTGGATCGTTATCATTTTAGCATTGAAAAACAATTCCCAAACAATTTAATCCTGGTAAATGAGTTATTATAATTTGAGAAGACATTTTCACTTTTTGATTTGGTTTTACTTTCGGCCAAACTCTTATTTTTGCTAATAAAAATACTTTTTTACTAAATCAGGATTTCCTTAATCATTCTGCTCAAATTCACTTTCGCTGTCGTGAGAACTGTATATTTCTTCATCAGATTCATTTGCACTATCTTGATCAATTTCTCCTTCAGAAGATTCAACTTCATATAATAACGTTCTCAAACGTTCCATCTCTTTTTCATATTCGGTAAATTTACAGTTGTAAGCCATTATCTATCAAATAATCCAACAGAACAACAATGGCAACACTCAAGAGCACAAAGCTAAACTGCTACTAATGAAAAATTTCGAAGCAGTAACGGTCGCACGGGTGACTGAGTCGCCCCATTCCCTCATGGATTCCAAGAAACGATTGCTTCTATCGCAGAAAAGAAAAACAAGCAAAAATAACAATACACATTCCAAGGGGAGTGTCAGACAGGAGGATACTAGAAAGATGCTTCATTAAAATGAAATATTTCCGGTTAGAATTGTTGAATTTTGACACATGGGGTGATTGTGCCCCGCGCAACTTCTCACATGTTAAAAGGATTCAATTTTAACCCATATTTCTTCGGTATATCAAAAATTAAACGAAGGTGGTTTTCATCCGCTGAAGCCGCAAGTAGATCATCAAAGTAGGGAATACAAAAATCTAAACCAAAAAGTACTTAATGAGAAACTCAAATAATCCAAATGAGGTGATCGCAGCTGTTTTGGGCACGTCCTCTGGATTAATAAGAATTTGATTTTATGCTGTAGCCAAATTAAATGAAAATAAAAATTTTTCCCCCAAAAATATCAGTCTTGAATATGTGGTACAGGATAATGATCAGGAAAGTCATTCAGGTGGCGATAATCACCATTAACTCTACAGACCATGTGAAGAGGGCAGGCCCGAAGGGCTTTTGGATGGTCAAGTGAATCCTTGTGACATAAGGAACTGGAACTCTTGTAATGCCGCTTGGAATAAATCTGGTGACAAATAACAAGTTTCTAAACCACCTCTAGAGCACAAGAGGACCTTTAATTTCAATAAAATAGAAAATTTGTAAATTCTGATTATTTCTGGTTACATAAGAAGGATTAATAAGTTCGGGATAATCAGCTAGTAATTTATCAAATTTAGAATCACCAAGAAGTATAGATATGCCCCAAATCAAAAGAATTCCCAAACAATTTACCACATGATGACAAATTAGTTTAGTATCAACAAGGCAGTTATTAGCAACATCAACAAGTAATCTATATTGCTTAAGGAAATTTACAGCTATAATTGGGTGATTTACATCTGCAGTGAAAAATAACCAAGTGAAAGTATGACATAAATTTAAATTCAGACTAAGGTATTTAGTGCCAAATGGGGCAATTTTAGTTCCATTGGGGGCAAATGAAACGAAATTCTGGAAGTCCTAGAACGCAGAGTATATTTTTTTCGTCATAGCGACATATCCATATCAATATCAATTAAATATTTTATTTTTGAACAGGGATCGGCCAAGAGTATCCGATTCACTTGGGGTTCGCTGTTTTGATTGTTCTCTTTTGCCGAAAGGAACACGGAGACTGACATTTAGTTGCCTGTTCCCCAAAATTTACATGATAAAAACAAAGCTTACTTCTCTGCTCTTTATAACAGCTAGTACATTTGTGTGAAGTACTGTGCCAGTACGAATACCAAAATTACTCTTACGATTGCAAGAATTGCATCCGAAGGTAGAGGTTAACTAACTAACTTGTTTAATCAGTTGTGCTACCTGGAGTTCCAAACAAGTATTAGCATATTCACTTGGCTCAAGGATCAGAATAGCTGTATTCACATAAGAATGAGATGCATCAACAACTATAGTCAGTTTACTCAAATCATCTTCACCAAGAGCAGCTAAAATAGACTATGTACTATAAGGAAGCCTTGTAAGCCGCAAAGACCTTAGCAAGGGTTCACCTACGGTATCACCTGCCACAGCGTGCATATGAGTCAATAACTGAGAAGGGCACTGGTCACCAAGCTCTAAAGCTTGCAACAGAATAAGAATTTTCAACCCTTTGCTCTCAGAATGCACTGAAATCAATCTTTGTTTTAAAGACATCATATTTTCTAGTAGTGAGAAGTTTTAAAATATTGCCAACAGAATTAAGTATATCAGAGTCTACAGCAGTAACAACATGGTTAAATTTTGTTAAATTTGGTTATGTTGGAAAGGGAAAACTGCGATTTCAGGCTGGCAAACCATAAAGTAATTCTTGTTTTTCAGAAAGGTGGTATGCGGCATGTGTAGTTGCTGCACTTTTAGCTGCAGTGTCATCAGTAGAATATTCATTACCATAATTTCTGGAAAAAAGGATGCTCAGCTTAAACGCTGCACTCTAGAAAAATGGCAGGAAAAAATTAAAATTACACAGAAACGTCGCAATAGATTAAATTGCGCGTGATATCGTCATGGGCCATATAGATGCAACATCTCAACTTATGTCCTGATATATGACATATCAGTTAAGAAAAATGCATGAAATGAAACCATAACTCAAAAATAAATTAAAAGTAAGAAATGTTGAAAATATATTTACGTTCACAAATATACTTATTGTAACATTATATTTGTAATACTCGGACTATATTATAAAATATGTTGCAACAACGAAATATTAAATTGGATGACAAAAGGAAATTTTAAATTTTATTTAGGAATTTTTATTTTATTTGACAAAAGGAAATTTACAAAAGGAATTACAGCAAACTACATATCATATGAAGCCATCAAAATCTGATTCTTCACTATCTGAATTAAAAAGATTTAATAAATCCTGTTCTAAGTCCAAGTCTTCCAGATTGTCACATTCATCCTCTTGGTTTACAGTCTCTTTATCTAAGGATATATTTTCAGCTTTGAACCCTGCTATTATTGGTGATTTTTTTACCAATTTCCATACATTTCATACCCACTTTGCAACTTCTTCATAAATGCTCTACGCATTTTATCACTTTTGGTATACGTATGCAATCCTTCACTCATCCAACACTCCCACCGCTTTCGGAGTTCAGCTTTCAAGGATTTATTACCTGGAAAATATAATGGTTGTAAGATTTTTGTCAAACCACCAGGAATTATTGCTACGGTCATAGACAGTTTTTGACATCTGGTTTTCACTGACTTAAGTAAATGAGCACGCATGGAATCCATTATCAATAACCATTTTGGTTGGAAAAAAGATCCCTTATGACACTGCCAAACTTTTTGTAGCCACTCGTGCATGATTGTTTTGCACATCCAGCCATTCTGGTTTGCACAAATAATTACATCATTAGGTAAATTCCCTTTGAAATAGTCTTTCGTTTAAAAATGATCATTGGCTTTAGCTTGTCACCGTTTGCGGCACAAACTAACACACATGTAAATGATGTTCTTTCATGCCCCATCGTAAGCACAGATACAGTTTTTGCACCACTTTCATCAACAGTTCTGTTTGCAGTCTAAAGCTAACGACGTTTCATCCATATTTATTATCTGTGACCAAAGAAGTTTTTTTTTTTTTTTTTTTTTTGGGGTCAATAATACGTGTCACATATTTTAGAAAAGTTTTCTTTTTATTCTGTCAGTCCATTGGTAATTGTTGCCCGACTGTTGTTCTAGTATGCACAGAAATATTTTTTCTTTTCATGAATCTGCTACACTAGCAAGGCCCTCCTTTGAAATCATTTATGTTCATTTTTTTTGCTATAAATTTTGCTTGTAAGCGAATTTTTACAGTCGAAATTGCCATTCTCTTTCCTTGTTGCTCCTTTATCCAGTTTGCAAGGTCGTCCTCTAGATTCGGCCACCTTACAGTACTACTTCTTTTGGCTCGTTTCTGTTGTGGCATATTTTTAAGTTCTTCTTTTTCAGTTCTCTAACAGCGAATACATTTCCCGTCCACTTCAAACTCTCGAGCTGCTGCTCTGTTTCCAATTTGTTCAGCATGTGAAGTTACATTAAGCTTAAAACCAGCAGTATAGCTTCTGTGTCGTTTAGGTGCCATTTTCAAAAATTTTCCGCTCCCTTCTTACTTAAAAACTATCCAACAAGTACTTGTTCCCAAACTGATGGGATCTGTATCTGGCAGAATACCAAGAAAAATCGATTCATGCTGAAGGGGAAATATGTCAGAGTTCGTTATTGCGAGGCAGGTGGAGTCGTGTCCGCCTTTGAAAAAAATTGCAGAAAAGGCAGGGGTGGAGAGAGAGGGGTTGAACCCTTGGTTTACAGCATGATAGAAATATTATGCATTTGTAAAATGTATTTAAAAAATTTTGTGAGTTTGCCTCTATTACAGTGTAATAAAATTCTGTGTGAATTGCATAATTTAGTTTTTTAATTTTTTTAACATTTCAAAAATTTATGAATAACTCTATATTAACTTTTTTGTTGTACAGTAATTAAGTTTTTTACATGTTTGCAAGTGATCTGTAAGAATTTTGTGTAGCTGTTAATGATGTTTTTTTTTTTTTATTTTTTTTTTTTTTTTTTTTTTTTTTTTTTTTTTTTTTTTTTTTTTTTTTTTTTTTTTTTTTTTTTTTTTTTTTTTTTTTTTTTTTTTTTTTTTTTTTTTTTTTTTTTTTTTTTTTTTGTTTTTTTTTTTTTTTTTTTTTTTTTTTTTGAATTGTTTTAACCTAATTTCCATATAACATTCCATTTTCACAATTAAAAATAATTGGCTTTCATTTCAGAAATTTGTGAAAATATACATTTAGAGAGATGGATGTTTTCTATAGCTATTACATTGTTTGTTACTGGTTGGGGTGTAAGACGAAGAAGTCTTGATTGGAGTGGAGCTGTTGCAGGTAAAAATAACTAACAAAAATGTAAATTCTAAATGTTGTTTAAAGATCCAGATCTCCATTAAAATATTTTGACTAAAATTTTCTATGTAATTTTTCTGATTGGCATTAGTACAGCTAATTCAGGTATCTTTAGGGCCGAGTACAAATATTAGGAGCAGTCAATAAATAATGAGTCAGCTTCAATTTCACAGTAATTATTTAATAAAACTTAAAATTATTGTCTATAGGCATTTATCCCTTTGTGACACCAGTCGCATAATGCCACGCTCGTAGAAATCCTTTGGTTATTGTTTGAACCAATTGTGCACACACTCTTTGACTTCATCATATGCTTGAAATTGGTGCTCCTGCAGTGCTTTTTTGAATTCACTGAAGATGTGGAATTCAAATGCAAACATTCCTTTTTTGCATTGACTGTGTGTGGTGTAGCGTTGTCGGGCAACAGGATGACACCACGAGAAAGTTTACTGGGATGTTTCAATTAGATTGCATTCCTGAGCTTCAATAAGGTTTCACAATAATGTTAAGCATTGACCATAGCTCTATGCTGCAGGAAATCGACAAGGAGCGATCCCTTAATGAAGAAGAATTAAAGCAGTACCTTGCTGGCATTAGTGTGGAGAGTCTTGAATTTTTTTGGGTGGAGGAAAATCTGTGTGCTTCCACTGAAGACTTTGCCATTTTGACTCAGGCTGAAAGTGGTGGTACCAACTTTCATCACCGGTAACAACTGCTGAAAGAAATTTGTCCCCATCATTTTGTAACACTGAAGTGCTTGCAGAGACATGGCCATGCGACATCCCTCTTGGCCCAGTGTCAAATGATGCGGGATCCATTGTATGTGCAATTTTATGAAACTTCAACCTGTTCTTGATGATTCCGTGAACCGTATCCTGGCTAAGCCACATTGATACAAAAATATCATCTACTGTTGGACGATGGTCTTTCTTTATGAGCTCATCCACTTTCGGAACTTGCTCTTCTGTGACATACATCAGTGCTCCACTCCGTGGGTCATCACAATCGATATGCGTCCTTCGCGAAAGGGCTTCTGCCACTCCTGAACTCTTGCCCGTGACATACAGGACTGCCCATAGATCCTTTTCATTTGTCTATAAATTTCATGCTCTTCCACTGTCAAAAAACGTGCAACACCACACTGCTCAGCTTTGAATGCTTTCATTCCGCATCTCTCAAAAAATAATGACTGGACGTGGCTGATGCTCGGTTATCATCCTTTTCTCACTCCCTGCTGGACAAGTAACAGCATCTAGCAATAGAAATGCACATGAAATATTAGGACATACCCGACTCTCCATTTCCGACCCATCTGCACTTTTCTACATACCATACCTTTTGTGCAGTATTCACTGATCTTTATTTATTGACTGGCCCTCATGTTTTCTTCCATCATGGTAAACTCAGTTCTTAAATATGAAAGTGCTTTTTGTTGAGATTACAACAGATTATGTAATTTTTAGTTAATAGAAGAATATTTTATTAATTTGCCTGTGAAATATGCTTTGTTTAATATTAGTACATTCTATTTATTTGTATCTGTGATCATCATTTGATATTTCATATTCAGGATATAACTGTATATAATTGTTGTATCATTATGAATATGGGAATCATCATGATCGGAAATCTTAACATTGCATACTATCGTGGTGCACAATTTCGAGCTATGTAAATTATACTTTAGATTTTAATATGAAATTTTATGTGAGTTTAATCGCCTTGGCCGGAAGAGGGGAGTGGACTTTTCTCTTGGTCACAGGTGGGAGTAAGAAAAGATTGAGATGTGGAAAAGAAAAAAAATGCATTTTTGCATGCTCTACTGTAGTGAAAATGTATCTTAGAGTTTTTTTTCAAATGTAATCTGTACATTTTTAATGAACTGTAGTTGTATATATATAAGTAAATATTTAGCCTAGAGCAGGTCTTGTTTATGTGACGAAGTTATGGCTGTTACAACTGTGGCAGCAGCTGTGGGCTTTTAAAATGCCAACTAGTCAAACAAAGAAGTGATGCTTGAATTGTATGCAGTTGAGTAGAATCATCCTGATTTCATCATGATGTTTGTACTTTTGACTGAATCATTCTTATTCAGTGAAGTTTTAACAGCACCCTCGTGATTCTGTGCAGTTTAGAAATCAGCTCAAATTCTGATATTGATCTATATAAGTTGATGGAACCCAAATCATCCTGATTCCAGATTCTTCATTTGATCTAAGTGATATTTATTCCTTAGTTGATTTAAGTGATATTTCTAGAAAACTGTCACAGTTCTGCACGACGAGTTTTCTTCATCAAAAATCATCCTGATTTTGATGTTGTTGGAATCATACCAATTCCAGTTTTCTTCGCTAGGTTATCATCTAAGTGATATTTTAGATAACCTTCAGAATTCTACATGACGAGTTTTTTTTTTTTTTTTTTTTTTTTTTTTTTTTTCCAAAAATTATCCTGACTTTGATGTTATATTCTAAGTGATGAAGCAGAGTATCGCTGCTGTTCTTACAAATACCATACAAATATACTTAAACATTTTGATGAGCAAAATGTTTCTTTGAAAGGGGAAGGAGCTGTAATGTCGCCCTTCTCTGAAGAACACTTGGTCACACACCCTGAAAGAAGGGACAGAGAACCCTCTTCTCACCTTGATCAGAAGAGGGCCCCTTAGTCGCAGGTGAGAGTAAGAAGTGATTGAGATATGGAAAAGAAGAGAGCGGATGCGTTTTTGTGTGCTCCACTGTAATGGAAATGTATCTAAAAGTTTTCTCAAATGTAATCTGTACATAGTTGTATATATGTACGTAAGTAAATATGTAGCCTAGAACAGGTTTTGTTTATTTAACAAAGTTATGACTATGTTACAATATGTTGAATTCTTTTTTACACAAAGTCCTCAGATGGTGCTATCATTGCATGAGTTTCCTCTGTATTTGGCTTCTCTTTCAATAGTGTCAAAAAGCATAGCAATTGGATAAGGAAAAAGTATCTTTTAAGCCTTGTTTATAGTCAAATACAAATCTCCCCTTATTTGTATATATATTTATCTATAATAAAGGTATCCTTTGTTTTATCATTCAGAAAGAATAATCAAAAAGGGACTTAACATTTCAGAAGTTGTCGAAAGGCGTTATAGAATTTCACGTCCAATTACGAGGGCCATCCAGGAAGTAGATTACGTTTCCGTCTGTGTCCGCTAGGGGCGGGGCTAGCGCGGCCATCTTGGGGTCAGAGCGTTGCGCAGCTCAGTCTGCATCTAGCCGTGCTAGTGAGAGGTTCGTGCTGTGCTCCGTTCAGATACTGTGACGGTTTGAAATGTCTGCGTTAATTGAAAATCCCGCGAGCTGCGAGGTGCGCTCAGTAATAAGGTTTCTGACTGCAAAAAACTGTAAACCGATAGAAATCTATCGGCAGCTTCGTGAAGTGTATGGGGACAACATTATCACTGAAGGTGGAGTGCGTCAGTGGGTCATAAGATTTCAAAATGGCCGAACCCATGTTCACGACGAAGATCGAAGTGGGAGACCCAGCATAGTGTGACCGCCGAACTTCTCGAAAAAGTCGATGCTAAAGTCCGTGAAAATCGAAATTTCACAATAACGGAACTTTCTTTGAGTTTTCCACAAATTTCGCGAAGTTTGTTGCACGAAATCATCAGCGAAAAGCTTGGTTACCACAAGTTTTGTGCAAGATGGATTCCAAAAATCTTGACAGAGGACCACAAAAATCAGCGAATGGCTGCAGCGTTGAACTTTTTGGACGCTTACCATAAGGATGGTGACTCTTTACTCGATCGCATCGTTACTGGTGACGAAACATGGGTGAAACATGTGAACTGTGAAACGAAATTGCAATCAATGCAGTGGGGGCACACAAGTTCTCCCCAAAAACCCAAGAAATGCATGCAAACAATGTCGGCAAGGAAGATGATGGCGACTGTTTTTTGGGACAGAAAAGGTGTAATTTTGGTGGACTTCCTGGAAAGAGGCACTACAATAAACTCTCAAGGTATTGTATTGCCAAACTCTCCAAAAACTCAGAAGAGCAATTCAAAACAAGCGCAGAGGAATGTTGAGCTCTAAGATCTTGTTGATTCACGACAACGCCGGCCGGCCCCACACGGCAAATGTCACTCGTAAAGTTCTTGAATCTTTTAAGTGGGAGTTGTTTCCTCATCCCGCCGTACAGTCCCGACCTGGCACCGAGCGACTTCCACCTATTCCCAGCAATGAAGAAGTGGCTGGCTATGCAGCGTTTTGATGACGACACACAGCTGCAAGAAGAGGTAACGAAGTGGTTGAAGGCGCAGGCGGCCGAATTTTTCGACGAAGGAATTTCCAAGCTCATACATCGCTACGATAAATGCCTTAATTTGTATGGTGACTATGTAGAAAAGTAGTATTTGAGTGTGGCTTTCATCTGTATATAATAAAATTTGTTTCCTATACTTTGTTTATTTTTTTATTCCAAAACGTAATCTACTTTCTGGATAGCCCTCGTATTTTATTTAGAAATAATTTCCTGGTCTTACTATCATCTTTTGTCAATTTATTTACAGATTTTTTTTTTTTTTTTTTTTTTCCCCTTGTGATAAAATTTTAACTTGCATACATAATAATTTTTTTTCTTCTAAAAGTGAATTTATTAATTTAATCAGCTGCAGCTTTACATCTTAAAGCTAGTAACCATGTACGTGTCTGCATTACAGTCTGGACTTTTTATGGGGCATTTGAAGTAAAAAATCAATGCCAATAAATTAGTGCAAATCTTGCATTTGATAACATCAATTATATTCAATTGCAAGCTTAAAATGCCTAGTAACTATAGTTACTTTGTAGAAAGGTGAAGTTTATCTTCTGGAGAATGACTTGGTAAAAAATTAATTCAGTTAACTGGCAGTTAAGCTTTAATTATAATGTTTACTTAAGCAGTTTATTAACTAATTTAATCATTTTAAGTAGTAAATCATTAAATTTTTTAATCCCATTACACTCATGAGTAAAACAACATAGTTAAGGAAATTAAAACCCATTAAGCAAGTTTGTTATATGCTATGGTATTATATGGAATAAAATTTACTAAACATAGAAGTAGGATAAAAACTTATTTAATATAATAAGGTTAATTATTATATAAAATTATAATGAGGTTTTTATTCTGCTTTTATGTGTAGTAAATTCTGCACATTCATCTTGTATGAATATATAAATGAAATTGTATTCAGCATGAAAATAACAGGAATGAAGCAGTTTATCATTAAGGTCAATATGTGTATAATAAAATCTGCAATAAGGAATAGTTGTCGCTGTGTTAGATTTTGGTTAACTAGTTGGGGGGGGGGAGAAGTGCAACATTAATTTGTGATTCGTGAAATTTTGTTTCTTGGTTTACATAAATTCATTATTCTGTTTTGAAGAAACATAAATTTTCTTTCAGCGGTTTTTGTTGGATTGATTCTTACCTTCAGCAGTTATTGTTTTATGGTGTGCCTTTTAACATTTTTCTATACTTCATCCAAGGCTACTCGCTATTGCTCAGAAAAGAAGAAGAAACTAGAAGCTGATTATAAAGAAGGTACACTTTTTGCTTTTTCTGATTTGGTATCTAAATCTGAAATAGTAATGAAATAATATAGAATTTTCATGGTTACTGAAAGTTAACATTTCTACTGTTGTAATTTATAATGAAAAATCGAACTGGCCATTATGAAAAATGTATGTATTTAAATTATTATTACAGTCAAAAGTCGTTAATTCGGACACCCATAATCCGGAATGATCTATAATCCGGACCTCAAAGCTAAAATCTTTCTGCGCATGCGCCGCATTGATGCATGCGCATAGACGTTTTACTCGTGCGCCCAAGACATTTACGACTGCGCATATGCGTCTGCGCAAGTGCAGAATAGGTTTTCGCGTGCGTGTTTAATGTATAACGGACGATATAAGCTAAAATTATCTAATTATCTATTTCAGTTAATGTTGATGATTGCGTTGTTCCTTAATCTTCGAATTGGATCCGGCTTATTATTTTTTGCAGACTGTAAGAGCAATTTTCTAAAAGTAAGCTTGAACTTTTGATTATGTCAAATAGAATTTCCGATGCTGGAGCTCCCAAAGGATCTAGGAAACGAAAGAATGTTTCGATGTCCATCAAACAAAAAACGAATTACAAAAAATGGATAAAGGCATATTCTTTGTTTATCTAACCGTTCCGAAATCTGTTAATCTGTTTATCAATTTCACGCTGCTCTGCGCGGGGGGGGAGACGCCGCGGCGCACAATGAACTGGAAGTTGATTTGTCAATACTATCGTTATCTTCAGAGCAGATGTTTTTATTTTATTCGGCTTATAATTCCTTACTAAATGTAGTATTTAATTTCGATGTACTCCGTCTTTGATATGATTTAAATCAAATTCCTCGTCATTATAAATACCACGAATACAAATCAAATAGTTTTCTGGTTGCAATTTTCTAATTTCGGCTATGCGTAAGGTATGCTTTACGCAACCGCGCGTTGAAAGAAATGTTTAATAAAGTAAACAAATAAATATTGGGCTTCTTTTTTGGTAAATTTTGATACCCTTTAGATCATAATTGCTCATTATTTTATAAATTACGGTTTCATATTTTTAATTTTATAATTTCTGCATGCCATCTTACCAGATTTAAACTGATGATCTATAATCCGGAAAATCGATAATCCGGAATCGCTGAAGTCCCGACGAGTCCGGATTAAAGACTTTTGACTGTATTATTATTTATTTATTTATTTATTTTAAGAGTTGAATAATAAGCACACTTTGCATAGCTGATTTAAGTAATATCATCCCGCCTCTGTGATCAATATCTACATGGACTAGAAATTTATGGTGGTTAAATATCTTTATATGGTCTCATAAATAATTTTAAATAGTCTGATAATGAGAGGGATTCTTGTTCAGAATCTGGTTTATACTTTGCAAAAATATTCTACCTGCAAAAGTATCTATTCGTAGATACAACATTGAAACTAAATGTCTATGGAAAAGATTTCTAAAATATGTATTTGCAGTCAGTCTAACCTGAGAATACTAGATTTACTAGAAAAGCATATCATCAGCCAAAGTTATGTAAATCAAACAATTCTAGTAGTGGTATTTTGGAAATTATACATTGAAATATGAATCCCCCCATCCCCAAAAAGAAACAGAAAAGAAAGTTTAAGGTAAAAAACCTGTTTCAAAATTTTTGTTTAAAATTCTTACAATGCACATGTGAATCTTTTGGCGACAGCAGGAGGGGATTCCATTTTTGAAAACCTGAAATTTGCAGTAACCAGTGGCATAATTTGGTTTCTTGAACCCTAGTTACATCATTGCTTACTAAGAAAAAATTGAACTAAATTAACCTATGATTTATAACACTCTAAGAAAGAAAGTTAAAAGCAGGTATGATTTTTTGAATCGTAATAATTCTTTATCAGACTGGATTAGTTATTAAGTAGTGTGAAGTCATGAGAAGACGAGAAATTTTTTTATAGAGAAAATTTGGAAGTCAGAATTTATCTCCCTTTTTTCTGTCAATGTTTACGTGTTTAGAAAGTTAAGTGTTTTTAACTTTAAGAAGAGGGAAAATCGGAGCCTAGGTTTTGGCCTGAAATAAAGCATTAGTGGTCGTAACCTGTTTTCCTTCTTGGGGATCAGTTTGTAGAGGCTTTGTTTTCTCAGGGCAGGAAAGGTGAAAAATCAAGCATATTTGATTCACACCATGAAATTCCAACACTAATTGAAAATACTACCAGTTACACCAAAAGATCAAGTACACAGTAATGCAATAATTCCTTATCTCACTAGACTTTGTATTTGCACAAAGAAATAAATCTGCATAGGAAAGAAATACACCATGTAAAATACAGAAATAAGATAAAGCTCTGGAAAGAAGAGAAGAGAGCTGAAGAAAAGAAGCTTTGAAATGGTAGAGAATAGATATGAAATCGTATTTTGTTACTGATTAGCAGTCAGACACCACAGTAAGTAGACATATGAAAAGTATGCTAAAATCAAGAATGTGAATTATTCAAAAATTTGCAAAAAATAATTTCTACTCATTCTTATAATATATATTTATAATCTTAAATCCTGACCTTAAAAATATACATCTATGCCAGAAATTTCATAAGTAAAATTCGTTAAGTGTACAGTTTTTTAAGATTATTACATGCTTAAATTTTCTGCACCTTTCCTGTTTGTTCCTGTTGGTTTCTGCTTCTCTCTTTTCTTTGACCTTTAATGTTTTGATAATTAAGGTAATACTGTAGCTGACTAATGTGTTTTTTAGAAGAAACTGCTAAAAACCACCATAAATTTAAATAACTAAATAAATAAAAATAAAAAATTCCTAATTTATTAAAATTTGCTTTCTTTTACTTTCATTTCTACAGAATTTTTTTTTTGTTCATGGACATCTCCTTGCACATCATTCCTGGATATTTTTTTCTGCAATCTGAACTTTAGTGCCTAATAGTAATGGAACTGAATAAAATTAAATGTATAAGAAAATTGAAATTAATATGCATTTCTTCTTCAATTCATTTTATTTATAGACCAGTGTTACTTGCGTACGAGTTCATTGTTGATTAAATGCACACAAAACCAATGAAAGTTTGATAAACTTTATTTTTCTTTCAAATAATAATAATAAATAAAATATAAAAGTCTGAAAGCTTTCAGATTTTACATTACACCCTAATGGATTTTTTTTTTTTTTTTTTTTTTTTTTTTTTTTTTTTTTAAGTTTTGTGTGTTATTTTTATATGTTAAATATCATGTTCTTCACATTTAAGCCATAAAATTCAGTTCAACAGCAATATTGCAAAATAATTTTTAAATGAGCATATCTTTAGAATTTCCGGGTCTTGCGCGCTGCAGATAAAAATGCTTTTTTTCCTATACAGTGTTGCCATGGCTCACTTTGAAGTCATTGAGTTTGCTAATCAAAAATTCATTAAAGTTTTATGAAATATGAAATAGATAATAAAACAAATTCCAAATTTGGGTGTCCAGATACCCATATTCGAGTGGAAACTTACGTTATTCAAAATTTGATGGCTCTAAGTACTGTTGTTTTATCACAATGCAAGAAACATACATACGTTTATGCAGAATTTTCATTATTTAATTTCTTTAAATATAATACAGGGCTCTAATATTTGGCGGCAACAATTTGAAAAGGGAACCACACTTAAAGTTTTCAATGCAAAATGCCGAAATGAAATTAATAGCCCTTCTGGGCTAAAAAACACTGTACTGTTCCGAAATTTTTCACAGAAGTACTTATACAGCTCTTCTCAGTATGACAAAGCACAATCAGTAGTTACCACTTCAAATTACTAAGAATGTTAAACATAATGCATTGCAAAGCATATCTATAGGGCAAAGCTGGCACGGAGATCTCTCAGTACTCTGAACTAAAAATTGTACCTGTAACCTTATGTTTCTGGCAGAGCTTCACTCTGTACTGATTTTTCATGTTTCATTACACAAAATTCATAATCCTAGCATAAAAACCAATGGCTGAACAATTAATCAACTGTTCTTGAAATTTCTAGTTACATTCTAGGTGTGATTTTAGGAGGGGGAATATTTTAACGCATCAAAGTTTTTTCCTAAATGGGAAGCCAGTTTTCTAAAAAAAAGTCATTTTATGGAATTCTTGTGTGAAAGATAACTGAGTATCAGTTTTCAGATTGTTGGAGGATTTCATCACATGATTTGAAAAGAAGGGAAATTTATTACATTCTTAGGGGGGGGCTTAGCTGGCTTATTTCCTGAAATATAATCATGCAATATTCATCCAGTAAACAAATTTTTTTTGGGGGGGGGGAAGCAGATAATTTTATGAAAGGAAAATTTGCATAGTGAAAGTGGGAGTAATAAAATGTAAATTTCCTATAGCCCAATCAAATCAGATTTTCAATTAATGAAATATTTATTTTAATTGGTTAAATATAAAGTTCCTTATGTCCAGAATTCACAAATTTATAAAGCCATATTCAAAATGAATATAGCAATTACAAACAACTATAACTATTTAACTGAGAAGAATTTATCGATAAGAATTACACAGAATGTAAAAGGAAGTTGAAAATTTTGTTTACATACTTTATAAATGCTCTGTGTGGCTCCACTTGGCAGCATGGACAACATCTAAACAGTAGTCCATTTCACACCATACATTCTGAAGCATATCTGGAATCACCAATACAAGCATATTAAAAGTGTGCATTTTGAGTTTTGGAGTTGTTTTCAGCAAAGGAAACACATACACAAGGTCTTTCACATAATCCTTAGAAAGAAATTGCAAGGTGTCAAGCAGATCTAGGTGGCCAAGAGCAGAATATATTATTGACATCTCTAGTTCAACCATGTTGGAAGATATTGGTTTAAAAATGGGTGAACCTCCATACCCCAATGTGGAGGTGCTCCATCTTACTGAAAGATGTAATCCGTGGAATCCTTATCTAGCTGTGGCATTGGCCATTGCTTAAGTATCTCAAGGTAAACATCTGCTGTAATTTTTCGCTTAGTGAAGA